TCACTACACTGTGCATTGTTTAACCCCCCAATACAATCTTTATTAGATACCTTCGTTAATACTCCTCTGTCCTTGGTGTCAGAGACCTGCAGGTACATTTGAAATCGGGAGTGGGGAGGGCGGGGCAGGGGAGTGTGGGGAGGACTTCCCTGCTTGTCCAGTGGTTAGGACTCTGTGTTCCCACTGTGGGGGTTACCGCTTCAATCCCTGGTCAAAGGAACTAAGATCGCACAAACGTTGCAGTGTGGCCGAAAAAATAAATTGATTAATTTAAAAAATAAAAAATAAAGAAACCTGGCAGGGAGAAGCCAGACTGTCTCCGGAGGCTGTCGCTCAGCTGGCTCTTAAAATAACTCCCCTTATAATTTCCAAAGGGTGGGCTAGTTAAAATAAGACGAACTTACTATCGTTTTCTTAATATAGGAGGCCGGCACCCACACTCTGTCAGCCAGGATTAAATATAGAAATGGGGGCATTGCAAATCGCCACCCACAGTGTGGGCAGAGGCAGTGGCACCGAGCTGAGAGCCGCTAGTGGCTGCTTTGGTTTGCAGCAGGCGCGACCCAGTCAGCCCGGCGGGTCCAGGAAAAGAAAATTAAGCCTCTATTTTTAAGCTAGTCAACGTGTTGTCAATACTTTTTTAAAAAAAGGAAAAGGAAAAAACAACCTGTAAGCAGCTAAATGTTAGATTCAAAAATATCTCTGGTACCCGATGTTTATCTGTATGTTAGTGGCCAAGCAGGTCTTATTTTTTCCCTTCCCATAATTCCTGAAATGAATGCAGAACCCAAGGCCAACCAGTCCTACAGTTTTGTTGTCATCTTTTAAATGACGCATCTCGGGCAACCAGGACAGTGAACAACAGACTAACTTGCCAAGTCCTCCTCCCACCGTCAGCGGCACCTGTTTTACCTAACTGGGAAGGGATTGGTGCAGTTTTTTAGTGGGAACTTAGAAAGAGGCAGTTTTGAGAAAACTCTGATGCTTGATATTTTTAATTGAAGTATTAAAAAAAGTGAAGGGGAGATGGTGGCTTCCCCTGATAGGACAGCAGTGGGAGGAAGGACAGTTACAAACCAGGCGACTGGGTTCCTGGGTTGTTTTTTATTTTTATTTTAAGATTAATTAATTTGGCTGTGCTGCGTCTTAGCTGCAGCATGTGGTTCCCTGCCTAGGGGTCAAACCCGGGCCCCTTGCTTTGGGATCTCAGAGTCTTAGCCCCTGGACCACCAGGGAAGTCCCCGTTTTTATTTTTAAACAAAATTTACTTTTCTCAGTGGACACATTGATTGTAATATATCTTGTCTGCAGTCATTGATAAGGGTGTTTTGTGGTGACAGTCCTTCTTTATAGACATCATAAAGGACTGAGATTATGTGGGTTTTACTGTCTTATTTCTGCAAGGGCCATTTTCTCTTAGCAGGGAGAACAAGAATATCTCAGACCAGACCCATGCAGCGACCGGTCCAGGGCTCACCCAGAAGAGGGAAGACAGCTCGTAGTCAGTGTTTATTATTATACAGGCAGACCTTTTACTGAGTTTCACTTGATTGCACTTCAAAGTTTTTTTTTTTAAACAAATTGAAGGTTCATGGCAGCTCTGCATGGAGCAAGTCCGTTGGTGCCATTTTTGCAACAGCATCTGCTCCCTTCATGTCTCTGTGTTATGTTTTGGTAATTCTCCCAGTATTTCAGACTTGATCATTATCATGTTTGTAGCGGGGATCCATCATCAGTGATCTCCGTCATTGCTGTCACAAAGATATGACTCGCTGAAGGACCCGACGGCTTCTTTTAGCGATAGATTCTTCTCAGTTAAGATGTGTACATTGCTTTTTTAGACATAATGCTATTGCATACTCAATATTGACTATAGTGCAGTAGAAACATAGCTTTTATATGCACTGGGGAACCAAAAAATTCGTTTGACCCAGCTGTTTCTAAATTCCCTTTATTGCAGGGGTCTGGAACCGAGCTCACAGTATCCCCGAGGTACCTGTAATCTCAGTTTTATGAGATCAATCCCCTTCTCTCTGAGTAGCCCCCAGAGTCCACTTTGCACACAGGACCCCAGAGGGCCTGGTTTTGCTTCACGCTTCTCCATTGCATTTATGAGAACAGACTCGGGGCTGTGGGAGCCATGGGCACAGGTTTCTGCTTCTAGCTCTGACCTTGCACTTCCCACACACACACTGCGGGGGCTGGGAGTCCTGCCTGTGTAAGGCCAGCCACTGAGCTCTGCACACATCCAAGTTCTTCCCCAAAAGTTTTTCTGTGTCCTGAATGCTAAAATCTACCTGCTGTCACTTCTCAATGACCCCACCGTGGTCCCGGGAGGCAGAGGTAACGGAGGTGGATGGGGATGGTCCAGGTGGGGGCCATGTGGAGCAAACCTCTCATCCCTTGAGGCTGGGGCTCCTCCTTTTTCTGGTCACCAGCTGCCCATGTATCACTGTCCCAGGACCTGGGATAAACCCCAAATTGGGGCATCATCTGACAATAGACTTGCATGGTGAGGTCATGCTTGCTCCTGACCTGGGCACCAGGAGGCCATGGGCTCAGTCCAGGGGTCGGTGCTATAAACACCATTGTTTCTTGTCAGAGCTGAGGCCAGGTCCAGTTCTCTCCCAGGTCTCCCAGCTCAGATTTGTGTGCTGGCTGCTGGGGGTGGGCAGGGGGCTGTCTGTTCAGATAGTACGCTAGTTTTAAATTATGTGGAGTTTATCAGACATGCTCCTGAGCAGCTTGCCTGGCTTTCTGTGGATGAGATGAGCATGCTCTCCCCGGCCTCACCTGAGCTGACTATGGTTGTTACACAGGCGTGGGCCGGGGACTCACTGTCAGAGCTGCCTTCTTGGGTCAATCAGAGTTCCTTTGGTCCTTGATCACTCAGTTGGCAGTCCTTTCTGAGTTCTGCGTGTCAAGTTTGGAATTGGTCAGGCCAGGGGGACAACAAGGCGTGTCCCCACTCTGTGCCAGCTTCCAGGTCACGTGATGCTGTGGTCTGGGCTGGTGGGGGTTCTGGCATCAGGAGCTCAACCAGCTGCTCACGTTCCCCCTCTCCCACTCAGCTCGTGTGCCCTGGGCTTGGGGCCCATCCCAGCCACACACACTAGATTCTGCAGTATTTTTAGTAACAGTGAAACCCCTTGTGGAACCTCTACCCACATTTTGGATAAATGGGGCAAAATGCTGGTTGAAGGAGCTGACTGTTACTTGTTCCATATAGTCTGCTCTTAACAGCTTCTGCTTTTTAGGATGAATAAGTAAGGAATTAATTGTAGGTACTTTCTATGTTCTAAGCATTAATTCCAACATAAATTCTTTTTGTCCAACCTCCAAGTCTTCCCTCCGCTGGTGACACCACCAGGTAACCTGGGAACTCTGGGTGCAGGACCCCCTACCTTGCACACACTAATGTCACCCCCACCTCTCATCATGAACTTGAACTCTCTTTTCCACAGTCTTGTCTTAGTCGCAGGGAAAAAGCATATTGTTGTTGTTCATTCTCTAAGTCGTGTCCGACTCTGCGACCCCAGGGACTGCAGGACTCCAGACTTCCCTGTTCTTCACCATCTCCCGGAGCTTGCTCAAACTCAAGTCCATTGAGTCGGTGATGCCATCCAACCATCTCATCCTCTGTAGCCCCCTTCTCCTCCTGCCTTCAATCTTTCCTGGCATCAGGGTCTTTTCCAGTAAGTCAGCTCTTCACATCACGTGGACAAGGTGTTGGAGCTTCAGCTTCAGCATCAGCCGTTCCCATGAATATTCAGGGTTGATCTCCTTTAGGATGGACTAGTGTGATCTCCCTTGTTTTCTTACATAACAGCTTTATTGAGATGTAATTAGTGTACCATACAGCTTACCCGTTACAGGTCATTGATTTTTCTGTAGTGTATTCACAGCGTCACACAGCCATCACCACAAGCAATTGTAGAACACTTGCATCACCCCAAGGAGAGACCTCTTACCCACATTAGGAGCCAGTCCCCACTTCTCCTGAACTCCCTGTGCCCAGGCAACCTTTAGTCTGCTTTCTGTCTCTATGGACTTTCATATTCTGGATATTTCATATGAATGGAATCCTCTAATATGTGGTCTTTTGTATTTGACTTCTTTTACTCAGCATAATGTTAAGTTTCATCCATGTTGTCGCCTGTTGTCAGTACTTTGTTTCTTTTTATCACTAAGTAATATTCCATTGTGGGGCTTCCCACGTGGCACAGTGGTAAAGAATCTACCTGCCAATGCAGAAGACTTGAGTTCAATCCTTGGTCTGGGAAGATCAACTGGAGAAGGAAATGGCAACCCACTCCAGTATTCTTGCCTGTGAAATCCTGTGGACAGAGGAGGAACCTGTTGTTCATGGTGTCGCAAAAGAGTTGGACCCAAGTTAGCAACTGAACAACAATATTCCACTGTGCAGATACACCACGTTGTCTTTGTCCTTTTAGCTGTGGATACACATCTTTGTTTCTCTGCTCTGGTGTATTATGAGTAAGGCCCTCATGAGATATGTGTACAAGTTTTTGTATGAATGGATGTTTTTCTTTCTCTTGGGTGCACACCTAAGAGTGGAATTGCTGGGTCATGTGCCAACTCTGTGTCCAGCCTTTTGAGAACCTCCCAGTTGTTTCCAAAATGGCTGCATGATTTCCATCCCCACCAGCCATGTAGAGGGTTGATTCTCCACCTTCCCTCCAGCTCTTGTCATCTGGCTTTCTGATGGCGGCCATCCCAGAAGAGGGCGTGACGAAGCTTTCCTGACAGGATAGGACACCTGTAGAGATTAGGAGCAGGGTCATCACTTTGTCAGTGGCCTAGACCCTCAGCTGAGGTCATCTTCCAAAGCTCCCAGGAAGCACGGTTTTCAGCTTGAACTTCAGTCAGCTTCAGCCCTACTGGTGGAAGCAGGGGCATCAGTTCCCATGACTTGTTTCCAGGATGGGCAGTGGGCTCCTCTCCTTCACATCTAACCTGCTGCCTGCCCTTCTCTGCAGGGGTCACCATGAAGCTCATGGACGAGGTGGCTGGGATCGTGGCCGCACGTCACTGCAAGACCAACATAGTCACGGCCTCCGTGGATGCCATTAACTTCCACGACAAGATCCGAAAAGGTAACAGAACTCCACCGACTGAGAGGGGCAGCCTTGGCTACTTGGGTCTGTGTACAGTTTGCTTTTGGTTCACCCTGGCTTCCCCGGGCCCTGGTCTCTGCCCATTTGCCCATAAAGGCCTGTGGCTTTATCCCATTGTGATGTTGTTCAGTCTCTAAGTTATGTCTGACTTTTTGCGATGCTGTGGACTGCAGGACGCCAGGCTTCCCTGTCCTTCAGTGTCTCCTGGAGTTTGCTCAAACTCATGTCCATTGAGTTGGTGATGCCATCCAACCATCTCATTAAGGGGCGTCCTTGGTGGCTCAGACAGTCAAGAATCTGCCTGCAACACAGGAGATGCCAGTTCGATCCCTGGTTTGGGAAGGTTCCCCTGGAGAAGGACATGGCAACCCACGCCAGTATTCTTGCCTGAAGAACTTCACAGACAGAGGATCCTGGCAGGCTGCAATCTGCAAAGAGTCAAACAAGACTTAGCGACTAACACTTGTCACTCTTTCCTGTTGAAGAGCAGTGTAAACTTACCCTCTTGAGGGGCCTGGTACACAGAGCCCTGCGAAGACCCCACGTGCACAGTTGCTGCCGCCGCACGGTGGTGGCATGTAACCTCTGGGGGAGGGGAGATGGATCTCCTGTGTCGTCAGCAGTGGCCGGGTCAGAGCAGGAAGCCCCCAGCCTTCAGCCCATCTGCACCATCCAGCACAGAGCCGGTGGTTTTCCCAGCAGAGATCCAGTCCCAGCCCCACCCGGAAATGGTTCCGTGCTCGTCTGAAGACATACAGTGACTGTCCCTTCAGTCTATTGTGTCTTCTGAGATGAGGCTGTGTGCCCCTGGAGAGCAGCCCTTACTTCACTCTGGGGTCAGGGGTCCAGGCAGTGAGAGGGACAGAGAGAAGGTGGGGGTGACAGAGAGAAGACGGGGGCTGACTCCTCACCCCCGGCCTCAGGGAACAGTGCTGGGCGGAGCAGTGCCAGCAGTCCAGGCCTCTGAGGCCCCCTCCAGCTGGGGTCCAGCCCAGCTGCACACGCACGCCTGCAGACATGCTTGGCAAATAAGTGCTGCCCACTGGGGACAGAGCAACCTGAAGCAGGGGCACCTCCTCTCCCGGCCTGGTCGAGAGCACATCATCTGACCCACGCTGGACTGGGGTAGGTGCTTTAGGGGAGGGAAGGGGTGGTCTGTGACTCCCTGCTTTTAGAACCCCTTCCCAACTAATAGGTATTTGTGTTAGATGCAGACCACAGTCCTTTTAGAATTTTCCCAAAATGAGTGGGTCTTGTCCATCTTGGCAGGTCCTCCCAGGGCCTTGGTGCTGTATATGGGGGTGCTGTGGATGTTCGGGAGAGGAAGGGTCCTCTCCGGCCACAAGTCCTGGACCCTCCTTTTCTGGACCTGACTGCTCCCTGGATAAACCACTGTGATCACAGCGTCCCTGTTAAACATGATGTCAGAACCCACAGTGGTTTCATGCTTGTTCAGTGCATCCCCAGTGCCCTCTGAGAACCGCCAGCTGGGTGTCCTCCAGAGGTGGCCAGTTCCTCCAGATCAGCCCATCAGCCAGGTCTTTCACCGCTGAGGGGAATGCCCCAGAGAGTGAAGTCTGCCTTTGTTAGAAACAGGGAGCCCACCCCTCCTCACCCCTGGCTCTTCACCCTCCATCCTTCCTGTGACCAGAATCACGTTTCAGTAGGGAGGTTGGGGAGGTCAAGGAGATGCTCGTTGGGCAAGGAGATGCTTGGTTGGTTCGTTTTGAGGGAACACTGTGAACCCTGGCCGGAGGAGAGCACTTTTCCTGGGGATACATTGAAACCTGGGAGATGTCAGGGCAATGTGGGTGCAGAAAAGACTTTGTTTCTGAAAAGTTAGTTTTATTCCAAAACACAGAGAAAAGGGGACTTCCCTGGTGGTCCAGCGGTTAAGACTGAACTTCCACTGCTGGGGGCATAGGTTCACTCCCTCCTTGGGGAACTGAGATCCCACATTCCTCAGGGCGTGGCCAAAAAAAAGCCCAAAACACAGTGAAAGGGATCTTCATTTTCACAAGCCGTGCTTTTCTGTTGGAACATTCCACTGTGGATGGGCTGAGAGTGAGGGCTGTGCTGTGGGCTGCCCCCCACGATGTTGAGCCCTTTGCACCCCACACCCCCACAAACCCCTTGCGGCATCAGAGCCTTGGCCTTGAGCCTGTGCAGCCCGGGGCCCCAGAGCTGGGCCTCCCGGCCTGGGGAGCCCCAGGGAGCAGAGAGACGGTTTCTCTCTTCTCAGATCAAATCTTGTTTTGTGTATAAAGGAATGTGGGCCACACTGAAGTCACAGTTATGGAGTCTGGCCTGTTTCAGTTCAGTGTCCCCGGGGCCATTAGACAGTGTCACACCTTATTTGTTGTTTTCCCAAGGAGTGTCCCCGTGTGAAGCTGTCGACTTCCTCACTCCCTGCCTCGCTGTGGCTTGAGGAGGAGGAGCCTGGCCAGTCACTGCTGATGAGGTCTCAGTCCTGGCCGCTTCAGACAGTTGTCACGTGTCGTGTTCAACACGGAGGAGCAGAGGCCCCGGGGGAACTGCCGCTCCCTGGCCCCTCGTCCTCTCTCACTGTCCGTTTCTTTCTGGGGATGCGCAGGGCGAGGCCGGCCGCGCCTGGATGACCTCGCGGGCTCAGGGTTCCTGGCGCCAGGCATCAGAAGAGTGTCGGACCCTTGGTGAAGGGGTGGTGTTGACATTCCCCATGGTTCCGCTTCGATTTTCTGATGCAGATCTGCTGAGATGACTGTGAGCCCATGGGGCTCTCAGGGCGCAGATTGTGAGCTGCTGCCAGTCCTTGGTCTCGGCCGAGAGGGCGGGAGCCGGTGCTACCGCGGAGGGGAGGGCTGCATGGTTGTGTCCAGTTCTGCTGGCAGGAGGGCAGGGCAGCAAGAGGGCGTGTGAGTGTTCCCAGTCGGCGCAGCGGTGACCACAGCCTGGGAGCTCCAGGTGTCAGCAGTGTATCCCCTCCCCGTTATGGAGGCCAGGTGCGCCTTTGGGGGCCGTTATTCTGATGACCATAGATGGGGTCTTAGCAGAGGGGGTGTGACTTTCTCTGACTCCCCTGTTTCACCATATTTCATTTGAACAACAGCTGGAATGGAGAGGAGGCCAGGCCTTTAGGTTGAGGCGGGAACTGCTCAGCTGTGTCTCTGTTCAGCCTCCGGGGAGGCTGCTTCCTCGGAGGGCGGGCGTTGGTGTGCTGTCAGCAGACGCCGACCCGGCTGTGGCCTCAGTGGTCACTTGGGGGGTGTCTGTCAGGGAGCCATGTGCAGCTTTGTGGCATGAAAACATCGCCCGGAAGTAGTTCAGAGGATGACTTTGAATTTCAGCCCCAGCAGGTGTGTACTGAGAGGGGGCTCAGTGGCACCCATACTTCTGACACAGTGGGGGCAGCCTGCAGGGTGGGGACAGTGCCCGCTCGTAGGGTGTGGCAGGTTTGCTGTCATGTCACCAACCAGATTCCTGGAGCCATCACTGCCACAGAGGGCCCACCTCTTATACCCTCATCAGCCCTCCCTCCAGCCCACGTTCACGGTCTTTAACACCAGTGACCCCACCGGGTTCAGCCCAGCCCCTCCACCGGGCACTGAAAGTCCTCCAGGGTTCGTCCCCCTTCCCCCTGAGGTCAGCGGGTTTGGGGGTCTTGGCGGTCGTGTACAGAATCAAACTCGAGCCAGGCTATCGAGGTGGAGGAGGAGCACTTTGTCCATGAGTCGGGCCTGGGGGGGAGTCCAGTGTCACATACCTGAGACCCCTCAGAAAGTGGTACCGAGGTGAGGTCAGTGCTGGGGGAGGGCACAGGGGACCCCAACCGCCCGCCTGAAAACAGGGCTGCCGGCGTCAGTCGGGGCAAGCTGGTGAAGCCTAAAGTCCTGAGCTTACTTTCACTTGCTCCATTTCTGACTTTTTGTTGAGATGCCGAAATGCTAAGAAAAGTGCAAAGGGGAAAATAGTTGCCTTTGGAGGCAACTAGTGGTTTTGGAGGCCTTGGGTAGGAAAACCTACAGCTGACCTACACTGCTCTTGTGGAGAAGTGATCCCCTCAGACTCTCAGGGTGGGAAGCAAAGTCTCTAGAAGATGCTTATTGTAAGCACACTTGCTGCCCCAGCTCCTTGGAGCTTAGACACTGAGCTCTTCTTAAAGTTTGCAGTACTTGGCAGTGTAGCCTTGGGAAGAGTGATGTTTTAGTATTCTGCTTTCTTTTCCGAATCCCTGTCTGAAACCTGCCCTGGAAGAGGCACCATGTGCAGGGGGAGCTGGCGGCCCTCCTGGGTGGCCCCTCGAGGCAGCCCTGCCGTGACTTAGAAATGTATCAGTTGTGACCTGCAGCTCGGCTTGCTGCGGGTGCCTCTTCTGTTTAACTCCGGTGCATTGCTCACTTTTGAGTGCCAGGCGTGGCTGAATGCTTCACACAATTACCCCTCACATGGGTGAGGGTACGATTGTCCTCCCCAATGAGACAGGAGCCCTGTTTATCCCGTTTTCTGATTTGGAAACTGCTGGTCAAGGGATTAAAGTGCCATGGCCAAAGGGCGGGTCCGTGGTGAAGCCAGGTGGGGAGGCGGGGACAGTGGCTCCAAGGCAAGGTCAGAGCTCTCGAACCCATGCCTGGTGCCCTCCCACCACCCTCCGGGCCTGAACTGCACGGGGACCTCTCCCAGGGCCCAGGGGCGTCGGCCTCAGCGGCGATACTGATCAGGTGCAGCGCCAGCCACTGTAGATGCTCTCACTGAACTGCCAGAGGAGTGATGGTTCCCCCATCACATGTATGTGAGACTCCAGACTGAAACAGGGCTGAGGGTTCTGCAGTCATTTGCGTCTGGCCCCAAGGAAGTCCTGGCTCTGCCTGTGTCCCCTCATAGTCTCGGCCCAGGGACCCCTTTTCCTGCTAAATTCGGACAGTTAGAGGCAGACAGTTCAGTCTCTGCTCCCAGTAGCTCTAAATCTGCTTATGTCTGGTTTACCCGCACGAGCCCCCCAGCACCGTCTCCACAACAGTCAGTAGCCACATGCGGCCATGATTCAATGTCAGTAATGAAAGTGTCAGTATTGAAAGTGCTACTCCCTGGTCAACAGGCCCTCGATCCTCCCTGAGGCTTTAGGAGAGAATCTGCTTCCTGCCTTTTCTGGCTTCTAGAGGCGCCTGCACTCGCTGGCTTGTGGCCCGTTGTCCACCCTTAAAGCCATGGCCCAGCATCTCCCTGACACTGCGTCTGTGGTCACGGCTCCCTCATCCTCTCGTGAGGACTGCTGAGATGACCTTGGGCCTACCTGGGTGATGCAGGCTGAGCTCCCACCTCAAGATCTCTAACCTCATCCCACCTGTAAGGTCCCTTTGTGTTAAATTCCAGCTGACACAGAGAGGCGGTGGGGCTCCAGCCCACTTCTGAGCTCTGCCATTCTCCCCACCCGGGTCTCAACCTGCGAGCCCTGGGATAGGATGCTAGCAGAAACCCCAGGAGAGCACAGAGCTCCTCAGCTCTTGTGGGATGGGAAGTGCTCCCCCTCTGTGGCCAGCCTCCCAGCAGTGGGCATGGGCCCCTCTGAGGTTCGGGGGTTAGGGATGACAGGTGGAGGCAGCGAGCTTCCTGGCTCATCACAGAGGGTTTGCACTGGAACTAGGGTCCCCGAGAGCACAGCTGAGTCCACACCTCTCAGACAGGCTCCTATGCTGGGGATGCCCCCGTGGGTCCAGCCATGAATGCAGTCACTCCTCAGCCTCAGATCCGAGACAACTGTCCGTGTCCTGGGGCCCAGGTGGAAGGGCAGGGGTTCACCCATGTCTTCACCACTGAAGAGCTGAGGCTCCCTGCCCAGTGCACTCGCCCGTTTGATTCATTGTGACAGCGTCAGAAGCAGCTTCTTGCCCGATGCAAATGTGCCTGCTGCAGAAAGAGAGGAAGGAAGCGATTTGTTTTAAATGTCACTTCTTATTACCTTGTTAGAAGGACGCTTCTCACGCCCTCGAGACACCACAGGGCGTTCTGTGGGCACTCTCTCCCCTGGGTTTTCAGACACTTCCCCCACCCCAAGGGCTGTGAGAGAAGGACACTCAGACCCCCAGACGTGACAGTCCTGGGCTTCTGTCCACACACGTACTGTGTGGGAGTGACCTCCCAGAGAGACAGCCGTTTGCAGACAAGGAAATTGAGGCACAGCAGCCTCCAGCCTTGCCTCCTGCCCAAGTTCAAACCTAGGGCTGTGGGACCCCCAGCGCCCGTGGGCCCCAGGGCTCCTCTGCAGGTCACCGTATCCTGGGGGATTGGCAGGCCTGCGCCGCAGGCAGGCAGTTCCAGACCTGGAGAGCCTGCCCCTCATGGGGACAGTCTGTCTGCGTCAGGGCTAATCTGTTCCTGCTTCTGTGGCTTGAAGGAGAACTGGCTGGTCCCTCCTGGCCTTACTTCCTGGGATCCCACCCCATCCAAGGTGGCACGTGGTACCCAGCACCTGCGGGAGATGCTGTTTTTCCCCTTGAGTGTGTTCCACCACTCTTAAACGTGCTGTCGTCCAGGTGGGTTTGGGTGTGTGAGCTAGTGGGACAGTCCCCAGGCAGTGTCTCAGCCCTTTGGACCACTCTACCAGGGCCACGTGTGTCTCACTGCCCCCCATGGGGCACCCTTGAGCACGTGGCAGGTCACACCTGCCCTTGCAGTTTCTGAGACAAAGCGAACAGGAGCCCAGCTGGACTCAGGCTGGGGTTGTGCTCTACCCAGACAGGCCCCCACTGTCCCGGGCTGAGGTTGAGGCCGGCCCAGCACCCCTAGAGGTAGTGGCCCTGCCCCTGGTCCCAGGGAGGAGGGAGGGAGCGTGGCTTGCCGGGCTGCTTGGGCAGAGGCGGCCACCGTGGCAGCTGAGGTGAAGCGTCTACAGGAGGGGCCCCACCCGGCTGGAGTCTTCCATGGCCGCTGTCCACACAGGGCGATGTGTTGGTTCAGGGGTGAGGGGCGCCCACTCTCATGGGGCCCTCAGGCTGTGAGGGAGCTGAGCAGACCTGCAGGTGCCTGGGGCTGGATGCCTGGAAAGAGGAGAGCTCTGTTCCAGAAAGAGGTGCCTGTGCAGAGGGTGGATGGGGCGGGGCTGTGTGGGGGGTGGTCTGTAGAGTAAGCATGTCTATTTCCACAAAGCTGGGCCCATTGCTGGTGACTTCCGCCTCTGTGGACTGACCGTTCTGTGCTCTCAGGTCCTGGGGGGAGTTGGCGACATGGCAGCGGCTGGTGGGAGCCTTGCTGGCTCCTGCGAGCTGACAAGCCATGGGTGTGGCCACAGCTGCCCTGGGGTGCCCCTGACCTCCATGACTGACCCCTTCCCCAGTGACTGACCGCAGACCCCAGGGCTGTGTGGGGTGTACTTTCCCAGCCAAGGGTCAGGGAAGGTTGGCCCTTGGCTGCACTGGGGTCTCTTGTCAGTTTCAAATCCAGTCCCTGCCCCTCAGTTACTGAGTCTGGCTTCCCGTTTTTAAGCACCTCCGTGTGAGGCAGCCTGGGGTGAGTGGAGCCTGGGGCTCCAAGAGGTGGAGGCTGGTGTTGGCTGTACTGAAGCTTTCCCGACTTCCAGGAGGCAGTCGTTGTGTCTCCTACCGTGAGTGGCTCTCAGGACCGTGTCCCCTCGGGTCTCAAATTTATCATCAGCCTGCTTCGTTGTCTACAGTCAGTTTTGATGAAAAATTTCTTCACATTTCTACCCGAAATGATCAGCCATGCAGTTGGTGGGGGGCTTACACAGGAGATACGGCATGGGTGTGTTTTCATTTGTTCTTCGGACAAACAGTTGTTAAAAGGCTCTGCATTCATTGCCCCTGCATCCCTGCCCCTTGGCTGGGAGCTCTGGTGAGTTTCCTGTTGAGGAAGGGGCCTGCTTCCTCAGCTCGTGGCCCCCCAAGCCCGCTGTCTGGTCATGGGTGAGAGGGTGGCCGGCACTGGGGTAGGCTGATGGGGATGGGTAGGGATGCTGGGAGATCCCTCAGGGACGCCCACCTCCCCTTCCGACTCCCCTAGAGACGGCCCCTGGGGGCCACGCGGGGGTTGTTCCCAGCGTGGGCCTAGGCACTTTGCTCGTTGCTGACTCGTTGGCCTTCCTTTCCCCCAGAAGTGGCCATGTGCGACACGGAGTGCTCCCTGTGAATATGGGGTGAGTGTGGCACAGAGCATCTGTACTTTATAACACAAATAACTGCTCCTGCTTCTGACTGCCCACACGCTGACCCCTAACCATCACCCGCTGTCCCGACTTGTCTGTCCTGGTCTCTAAACATGTGTTGTGTGGCTGTCTCTGTGGAGCTGGGACGTTGGGGTTCTCAGCTGTTAGGTCACTGCAGCCGGCACTGGTCTGATCTAGACAGGAATTTCCTTGAGCCTGGCCCAGAAGCAGGCTGGTTTGGGGTGGTGGTCCTGGGCACGTGTCAGAGGAAAGCCCTAAGCATCAGTGCTGCCTTGGGGTGCAAAGCACCATTAGTGGTGGTAATAAGTGCACTGCATGCCTGCTGCCACCAGGCAGGAGCCTCATCACCTGGCTCGTTTCATGCCAGTCCCTAGTTACCCCGAGGGGCACCTCAAGTCTGTTTATAGGAGAAAAACTGGGTTCCGTGAGATTAAGTCAGAGGAAGGGAAGGCCAAGGCCAGAGGTGCAGGGAGCCTGTGACTGAGAGAGATGCTCTAGGGTAGGTGTTCAGGACCCAAGGGTGTGGGGAGTGCGGAGAGGTTGGGTGGGGGTGGGGAGAAAGCAGGGGACCCCCTCCCCCCAGGACAGTATCATGGGAATGTATAACCGTCTGTGAGGAAAACTGCTGGAGTTGGGAGGTGGGGGCATACGGGGACTCTGACCACAGAGAGGGCCATGGGGGTGTCTTTGGAGGACAGATCTTTGGCTCAGGGAAGAGTGCTGGTCCCATGGGCAAGACTGGCGGGGAGGAGAGACGCAGCCCCACCTGGACAGAAGGTAGGAAGGAGACATGGGCTGAAGTGCAGATGGTGGCTCCAGGGGATTTAGGACTGCGGTCAGCGTGAAGGCTTGGCCTGACCATACACGCAACCCTGCCGTCAGACCAGCATCCGGAATGTTAGAGCTGGCTGGGAGGGACTGGGGAGGGTGGAGGAAGGTTCTTCAGTGACCCTTAGAGCAGGTGGGGGGTTGGGGGGAGGCAGCCGTGCAGCTCCAGGGCCACAAGTAAGGCCAGAGCATGGGTCAGCACAGATTCAGCCTTAACCCACCAAGGGACCTGAGAGCACGTGGGGGGCTGGCACCCTTCCCCAGACGCTGCCACCCCGGGGGTAGAGACCCTTGCCTGGGTGGCCACTGGGACCCCTTTGGCTCTGAATGTTTCCGTAAGTGAAGGAGGCCCACTTGCTAATCAGAAAGTGAACCCTCTTGGGCTCCTGTGTGCTGGCGCTGTGACATCCACAGTGAGGACTGCGGTCTGTGCTGTCTCACCGGCGTCTGCAGCGTCTTCCCTGTCCGGCCTGGTTTGGCCACCCTGACCCGCTGTCTGTGCTCCGCAGGCTGTGTCATCACCATCTCCGGACGCATGACCTTCACCAGCAATAAGTCCATGGAGATTGAGGTCTTGGTGGACGCCGACCCCGTGGTGAACAACTTTGTGAAGCGCTACCGGGCCGCCAGTGCCTTCTTCACCTACGTGTCCCTGAGCCCAGAGGGCAAGTCTCTGCCTGTGCCTCAGCTCGTGGTGAGTGACCCCTCTGGCCCGTGTGTCCTTAGGAGTGACTGACCCCCATGCTGGGCCAGCCTGCCGGGCACTCACCGGGCTTCCAGGAGAAACCGAGTCACAAGAGTCTGTTCTGGTCTGCTGGGCCCCCCCTCCACTCCTGAGGGGCCAGTGGCCTTGGCTGAGGTGCAGGTCACATGTGAGAGCCCATCCCTGGGGGCGCGGGGGAGGGGCTGGGCAGACAGTGTGAGAGGTGGTGCCCCTTACAAGCTCCTTGCCGAGGGATGAGCATGCTGCCCTGGGGGTCTTGATGCTGTGTACGATTGCTGGAGCGGGGTAGGGGGAGAGGACCCTCCCAGGGTCCTCTCAAGGAGCCCCTGGCCTGAGTCCTGCACGATGGGGCCAAACCAGACCCCACACCTCGAGGCTGGGCCTCATGGCCTTTCCCAGACTGGGCGCAGGGGGGCAGCTACCACCACAAGCAGACCCTGGGTCTCCAGTCCAGGCACAGATCCTGGAGAGCCTCAGTCCCCAGCAGGGTTCCCTTGGAACTGTCCTGGGTTCCACAACCCCAGAGACTGCTGTTGGGGCTGCTGGGGCTGAGGGTCACGAGCATTTTATTAATTTGGAAAAGAGATGGTTGGATTCACTGAGCATGTAAGGACTTCCCTCCCTCTTCCCACCTGCCTCAGCACCGCCCCCTAACCCCCGTCCCAGCTCTTGTTACCCGTGGACCCCCAGCACTCAAGGCCACAATCACAGGAGTCTTTTTTTTTCATTTATTTATATTAGTTGGAGGCTAATTACTTTACAATATGTAGTGGTTTTTGCCATACATTGATACGAATCAGCCATGGATTTACATGTGTTCCCCATCCTGAACCCCCCTCCCACCTCACCAGAGTCTTCTGAGGCTCCCCCTCCCTCACGCCCAGCCCTGCCTGGTCCTGGGGCACCACGCTGCCCCTGTCTGGGATCACTGGCAGCACCTCCTCCTGGTCCCTCCCTCCTTTACACACTCACCCATGTATACACGTGCACGCGCGTGCACACACACACACACACACACAAACTGTTCTCCAGCACAGGGGTGATTTGTTCTCAGCAGTGCAGATCTCGTCACTTCCCTGCTGAAACTTCAGGATTCTGGTTCATTTAGAATAAAACACGTGGTCCTAAGGCTCATGCCTTGAGGGTCTGTGCACCCCGCCCCTGCCACTTACTCCACCCCAGCCTGCTTCTGCCTCACCTGGAGCCCTGCTGCTCCCACAGAGGTTCCAGGCCACCTGCAGGGGTCAGTCCTCACCCCCCAGGGTGAGCCCAGTGTTGCTTCCTTGGAGGAGCCTCACTGACCCCCATCCAGCATCCCCATCATAGTCTGGCCTTGTCCCTGCCTTGCCCTGCTCCAAAGCACCAGCCCCCCGATTTGGTGATGCTGGTCACTTGCCAACTGTCCCACCCCCACTTGTCTGAGCCTCACGAAGACTACAACACATGTGCTCCCTGGGGGTCACTGGGTCTGCAAGTCTCAGTACGTAGGGGGCTGCTCTCTGGAAAGTGCGTGAATCCTGCTGTGTGCAAGGCCTGAAGCAAGAGATAGGCAATGTGGGTCCTCAGAGGAGCAGGGTGTGTGCTCGGCTGGCGGCTTCCACCTGAGGGCTGTGAAGTGGTGCCCGGGGGCTGAACAGGAGCCCCCAGGAAAGCCAATGGGTAAGGGCCATGTTGGGAGGTCCCAGAAGCTCAAATGCCAGCAACTTGGCACGAGCTAGCCTTGAGAGAACCCAGGAGTTAGGGAGCAGAGGCGGTCAGGATTGGGGAGTGGGGGGGCGAGTGGTGAGGAAGCCTGGCTGGGAGGCACTCGGTAATTGTGTATTGGACGAATGAGGAGGGAATGAATGAACAAATGAAGGAATGATGATGCATCCAGATTTCCCTTGAGGCTAATGAGAGCTTTATAACTTCACACATTTCTTAGTGATGCCAAGCTCAGCCCGGCCCTGGGGGCCAGGCTTCCCTGCGCGTTACCCTCTTAAACTGGTGAGGACCCCCTCAGCCCAGCAAGGCCGAGTCACTTGTAGATGTTCACGCAGCTGGCCCATGGGAGCCTGGGTGTGGAGAAGGCCTCTCTGCTCAGGCTGCTCCTTGTTGGTCTTGAGTCAGGCCCTGGGTCTGCCACTAGGGGGCCGGGAGGAAGCTGGAATCCCTGGCTGAGGTTGGGCTGGGCTGTGCAGAGAGAGCACAGAAGCCTGGGCAGGGGTAGGGGTGTGTTAGGGTCTCCAGCGCCTGGCGCTTTTGTGGAAGTGGCTGGCAAGCGACTCCGGCCCCCTGGCAGTCTGAGCCCTGCTTCCAGAAGCGCCTCCCAGGGCTGCCACTGCCCCCGCCCGTCTGTGCCCCACGCAGATCCCCACCTCCTGGAGAAGAGCGTGTACTGAGAGCCTCTGTCACAGTAAACATATGGCGCTGAAGCTCACTTCCTCATGGGACTGCAGGAGGTCCTTCGTGCTTCTTCCCTGGCTGAGGATGGCTGTCTGGCCTGCGTTGGGGGGGTACTTCTTGGTGGCAGCTGAGTCCCACCTCTTGGAGATGCTAATGTGCCCCCACCCCACCCCGCTCCTCCTCTCTGGGGCCTCACAGGCCCACGGGGCAGCACTTTGGTTTGGCGGGGGAGGCATCCGGCCTCATGAAGGCTCCTAACATGGCCAGAGGAGCCTTGGCTGCCCACCAGGCCCTCTCCTGTCCCTCCCCGTTCCGCATGGCCCCTCCTGGGGCTCTGGTGAAGCAGGTTGGGGGTGGGGGGGTGCTGCAGAGAGGAGGGCTGGTGAACCTGGCCTTGAAGGGTGGGGGCTGTGCCGTATTGAAGGAAGGAAGGGGTGGCCAGGGAGGGTGCCGTCCTTGGGTGGGCTCTGGACTGACACCTCCCCTCATACAGCCCTGGCCCTGCTGCCTGGTGACCAGGCCTGTGGGGGGCGGGGGTAGGGGTCCATCAGCCTCGGCCTCTCCCTCTCAGGTCCTCAGCCACAGCACCCCCCACATCTCATCAGTCGTGGTGGGTTCCCTGGGAAAGCCTCGCCTCCCCCCGACCTCTCCCCAGCATTCCTGATGGGCTTTCCTGAGCCCAAGGACGGGGTGCTCACCTCACCAGCACGCCACCCTGATGGCGCAGCGGGATGGCTGCCACCCCACCTGGCCCCTTGGTTGATGATCTGTGTTCCCTTGACCTCTACCCACAGACCTGACCTCCAGCCTTGACCCTCTCGGCCCCAAGTGCAGGCTCACCCTTGTTCTGTCCAGACCCTTGTCCCGTCTCTGTCCATGTTGCCACAGGGCCCCTTGGGGACACCTGTCAGCCTGGCCACCCCCAGCATCTCCGTCCTATTTACTGAATTCGCACCACACACAAGCGAGGCCTTGACTTCTGTCCTCCCGCCTCCCTCGCCTCCAGGCTCCAGCAGGGCAGCCCCATCCAAGGATGCTCTCCATCTTTAATCTCACTGGCCTCTCCCTGGCTTTGGCATGACTCAACTGTGAGGGACTCTGCAGTGTTCAGACAGCCACCCCATGGCCAGCTAACCCGGGCTCTGAGATAGCCCGCCTGCACCCTGCCCTTGGTTGGGGGTGGGCCCAGGCCCCAGGCTGCCTCTGTTTCCTCCCCAGGGTCTCAGCAGGCATCTCAAGCATAACATTCCCAGCCTCCTCCCCCCAGAACCCCGCTCCTCCCGGTGTGTTCGGCCTGGCTCCTCTCCCCCCTCAGCTCCAAGCCACATACCCGCCCTGTTCCTGCTGCCACCTCCCTGACTGCACTGTGTCTGAGCAAATGTTAGAACAGAATCATGTTCGCTGCCTCTCCCACCTCGATGGTTCAGCAGCTCCTTAGTGCCCTGGGCACAGATGGGTCCAGCCAAGTCGGCCGCCATTGTTCCCGTACTTCCTCTTTCCGTCACAGCCAAACCTCAGGGCCCCATCCAGGGCCCGTCACCATACAGGTTCACCCAATTGAAACCCAAACCTCAGGGCCTTTGCACTGGCTGTTCCTCTGCCAGGACACTTCCCTCCAGTCATCACGATGTCAGCTCCTGCCATGGTTTCCCAGATAATTTCCTCCTTCGATGACCTTCTCTCCCCTCTCTGGATAAAGCCTTATTACTCCTCCCCCCATCATCCTGTGACTCCTGTTGCCTGGAAACAGCCTGGAGTTGGTAGAAGGGGGAGCTCAAAAGGAGCCAGCAACTGAGAGGGCTGGGGATGGGGCTGGTCACAGGAGAGGAGGGGCAGCGACCACCTGTGGCCCCCCTGAGCTGCTGGAGGGCAGGCCTGGCCCAGGACCTCCCTTCTGGCCCTTTCCTCTGCTGTTGGCTGAAGGAGTGGGGACTGCAGGGCCCCCCACATGGCCCTGAGACCAAGGACATCTGAAGATATCCACCATCTTCGTTTTGAAAAGGCTCCTTCCGTTGTAGATGCAGGTGGACAGGGTGTCCTGGCAAGGTCTGCAGTCCGGCTATTGGTGGTTGTGTGGCGTGCCCGCCCAGGGGCTGCTTTAGGCTCAATTGAAGGCACTGTGGTGCCCCTTCTGCCCTGCCTGAACCCCAGAACTCAGCCTGCTGGGAAGACCAGTGCCAGCAGCAGTCTGGGAAGAGTGCCTCCCCCAGGGTCTAGTCTCCATGGAGAGCTGCTTGTGATCATGGAGCCCTTTGTGGAGGAGCCCCTGGCCTTCCTGGGCTGGGCCCGTCTCTGCACCTGGGGGGCCGCCTGCACCTTTTCCAGAAACCCAGGAACCTGGGATGAGGGTGGGCAGGCGAGAGGAAGTCACCTGCTTGATGAAGGGAATGGGACGGGGACTGAATTCCCAGGCTTTCGGGGCCAGTGCTGGTGATGGCCTCTTCTCACTGGCTGGCTGCATGTAGACACAGGCTATCCTTGCTAATTAAAGATGGTCTTTGATTCTTCACTGAGGTGTCCTGGGGCCACCGATGTGGATAAGAATAGCCTCTAGTGGGGGAGGGTGGGCAGAGTCCCCGGCCTGC